GGGCTTGAACTCTGGGCCTGGGCGCTGTCCCTGCGCTCTTCAGCTCAAGGCGAGCGCTCTATAGCTTGAGCCACAGCGCCACTTCCAAATTGTTATAATAGTATTTAACATGTGTTGTGATAGAGAAGGCACATAGTAAATGAAGCCTCTGAGGACACGATTGGTATATGGAAGTCATAATGTTGAAAGAGTAGAGTGTAAACCACTCACTCCCTTCTTGAAAAAATTCTACTCTAGATTGAAGAGGGGCAACACCCTTCTGAGTTTCCGCCTACCTCTGTGACTGATCTTGCTTAGTTTCTTCTATAACAACAGGTAAATATTGACCTTTTCAGTGCTTTCTCACGATAGTCTCTCCCTAATGCTTCCTTTCCTTATTGTCAATAGCATCTGCTGCTGCTGCTGCTGATTGCCAAGTCCAGCCCTTTCTTCTGAGCTTTGGATTCATATTTAATTGCCCACTCCACTGCTCCACTTGCAACTCTCACAGCACCTGAAACTTTATGTCAAATGTGGACTTCCCTCCAACCTGCTCCTCCCAAAGTCTCTTTCCTCAATAAAGGTTATCACAATCTACCCAACTGCTCTAGCCAGAAACCTGAGTCATTCTTAACACATCCTTTCCCTTGCCTCGCACTTATCATCTCACTTATCAAGTGTGTTCATGCACACCTAAAAAGAAAAAACAATTTCAACTCCGTCCTCTTTTCTCCATCCTCACTGCTACCACCATGGTTTAGCAACTCTTCACTCCCGGCTAGTTCCTAACTGAGCCTTACCCCATTTTACCCTACTCCTTGCCACTCTCTGACAGAAGCCACTGTGATTTTTTTAAAAGTATGAATCACATCTCCTAAACATATTTCAGTGTATTATTTTGAATTTAAAATTTTCAGATGTTTAATTGGATGTGTGTGTGTGTGTGTGTGTGTGTGTGTGTGTGTGTGTGTGTGTATGATGACCTAGCTCCTATTTCTCCAACTTCATTTCTCCTTAGCTCACCATTCACTTTGCTCCAGTGACAAGACTCCAACTTTTTCTTGCCTCAAGATTATTCCTTCCTGAGGGAAAAAGTCTACTCAGAAACTTCTCCTGGCCATTTCTTACTTAGGCTTTAGGTCTCATTTTAACACTATTTTTTCATAGATGGCTCTCCTTATTATCTAATCTAAATGATATTCTTCCTGCATAGAAATCTGGCTTATTTCCTCTGTTGAAGACTTCTGTTTTCTCCCCCAAATCCACTGTCCCTTTTTTTTAACTTTTTTGTATGTATAGAATTTAGCTGGGCATACGGCTAATATGGGAAAGACATTTCCATCCTTTGCACTGCCATATGACTAAGTTTAGCCAATGGAACGTGAATAGATGTCATGTGCACACATGATAGACTTCCCTTAAGTGACTGTGACTATAGTTTCTATGCACCATGAGGGAACAGTGAGACCTGAAGCAGTCACCACGCATCAGAGATGGCATCCACATGTTGGCAGGGCTAATTTGTCTGGAACAAAATCTGATAAAAACGAAAATTAAAATGGAGTATATAAAGTGGTGTGACCAGAGAGGAAAAGGGAAGAAGACAAAGGAGGGAGTTTCCAGGAGAGAACAATGTCCAATATCACTCGCAGTGGAGAAAGAAATTGTTATTACCATTTCATAAGAACAAAATCTCCAAGGTTTTCTGTATGAATGCGCGTGTGCACGCACACACAAATGTAAATGAGCAAAGATTAATGAGTGATTCAGAGTCAGGGCTTGAAGCCAGTCCATATAGGTTCTCTCATTTACTAGTGGAATGGTCTTGGTCACGTTGCTTCACTTTTATATGGACCACTTCCCTCATTTGTAAAACGGAATAAAAGCAATCCCACCTGCATGTGATGGATGTTAAAGATTATGTAACTAAAGATGTTGAAAGTACATGGAGCACTGTCTGCCATATGGCAAGCCTTGTGTAAGCTGTTAGGGTTTTTTGTCACTGTTAACCAATGCACTGTTTATTTGATTATTTAAGAATAAGTAATTCTGCCAAAGAAAGAGAAACTTACTTTGTAAGGAAGATAACTGAAATTAAAGTACAAGGAAGTTGCTTGTAGAATACAGGAAATAGTGAACATGATGAGGTGAATATAAAGAAAGAAGGACCAAATAGGCATCAAATATTCTAGATATGTGGGCTAGGAAGGTGGCTCAGTGGTAGAGCGCTTGCCTTGCATGCCTGAGGCCCTGGGTTCGATTCCTCAGCACCACATAAGCAGGGAAAAAAAGCCGGAAGTGGAGCTGTGGCTCAAGTGGTAGAGCACTAGCCTTGAGCTGAAGAGCTGAGGGACAGCGCCCAGGCCCAGAGTTCAGGCCCCACAACCGGACCCTCCTCCCCCACCCCCCCAAAAAATTCTAGATATACTGCATAAGGCACTCAATATTCAGGAAGTCATAAAATAGTCAATCATGTGTGACACCTATGCAGGCTGCAGATAAAATTCCCAGATTTCTGTTTAGATTAGTTAGTGAGCTATAGCCAGGCATACTTGCTGCTCTGTCTCCTTATAAGACAAGAATGTCCTGTGTATGACATCAGGCAACTTCTGTCTTCCAATACTCCTTGTTTAGCCTCATCTCTGGTCTTCGTAACTACAGCATTAGGCAGGGAAGAATATAGTCGAGAATGCGGAGGATGGCACATGAATCAAAGCATATTTCCTAACACACCATCCATTTTTGCGCTGTCTTGTGTGTCAACCTAGTCTCTTTTGCCTGGCTTCTTGCCATGTGCTTCAATAAGCCTTGTGATTTCAGCATCTCTGTCTTTGAACCTTTCTGTGCAATGCCCTCTGGGATAGCTTGACTGGCTGTGTATTAAGAAGCTAGTTTCCCACACCACACCCATCGTGTTTAGCTAACAGAAGGTAGTAGGAACACAAGGGAACAGAGGCAGGTCATTTTTTTTTCCCCAGTACATTCCTATCTTCTTGCATTATGTCGTATTGTTAAAAAAAGAAGAGAGAGAATTTTAAATATAATAATATTTAGTAGTACAATGACCCACTAGATATAGCCCAAACTCTGGTCTTCTTAAAAGAATTGTGCTTGTCAGGAAAAGAAATCTTGCCCTAAGAAGGCCAATTAAAATAACACATTTTCCTCTGCTGCCCCAGGAGGCTGCCATGTTCTATCTGAAACACAAACACCAGGTTTGATCTCTAGGATGACTTGGCTTCCCTTTCCAACATGGAACAGCCTTTATAGGTCAAGAACTAGCCTATTGTTCCCCTAAGTTCTTTATGTTCTCTTCCATTTCCTCTCACCTGAAGCAAATTAGAACTGCAGCCTTTTGGTTTACTTTACTTTCTTTTTTTAAAAAAAGTTATTTACTAACTGGACAGATCGGAACGATGCTGATTCTATTATGCATTTCTGTTATGACAGCTACCAACTGTGTACTTTATGAGCAACCCAGATGCAAACAATGCAGTAGGAAGCCACACCAGACCAGAATCTTCAATCTCAGTCCAATCATGACCTTAATTGTTTCATTTGAACCTCTAGTGCTCACTTTTACTTTTATGTGTAATGTTGTAAGTGGATTTATCACGAGGCTAATGTGTCATATGCTTCAGGGACCTTTCACGGATGCCAGAAGGGACCTAGCAGTTAGATTTATAGCTGTTTTACTTTTTCCTAAAAAGGGACTCCAAATTCTGAAGCTCAGGGATTGTTAAAATTCTTATTTCTAAGATTGTGTAGTTAGGAGCTCAATGCCTGGATTTTAAGGCTAGCTTCTTCTTCTCCTAGTGATTTGGGGCGGACTATATTAACTTCCAGCTTCGGTTTTCTGGTAGAATGGAAATAGTATTGCCTATACCAATAGAATTATGGCAAAGCTTATCATACTTGAATGTTATGTAATAAACATGAATAAATGTTCCACCATTTCTGCCTTTGGCAGAATAAACCCTAAACTCTGAGGTCAGGATCTGGTATTTCCGGGAGCCCATTACATGCACCAAAAATACTTGTTGCATGAATACTTCACACAATCACTCTCTCCATCCTCTTTTGCATGTTTAACCAAATATGCAACTTGATTCTTGATGTGCATGCTGAGTTACCTCTTCGATAAAGCGCCATGCGCTCTCTCTGGCCTTGTTAAGCAGGAGTCAGCTGTTAACTTCATTGTACCCAAGTCCTGCCCGGTGACACCTTCCCCTTCGAATTCACCAAGAGGTTTATCTCCTTCCTCTAGCCCCTTCCTTTCTCAGAGTCAACTGAGGATAGGCCCAGGAGGCCAGACTAGCTGCACAGAGATAAGGCATTAGTAGAATCCGCTGCTTTGTGTCTGGCACCTGCGAGCCCATTAGATGACAGTTATTGCTATTCCATAGTAACCCTCCTTACCTACTCCTAAGCAGATCAGTATTTTTTTAAAAGCCAGTGGAAGAAGAAGCAGGTGTAGCGAGGTGTGTGTGTGTGTGTGTGTGTGTGTGTGTGTGTGTGTGTGTGTGTGTGTGTGTGTTGGGGGGGCGGGGAGATGAGGTGGGGTGCAACATCACCAACTGTTCTCCCTTCTCCGCGCGCTTCCCCAGCTGCGCTAGGTGCAGGGGTCCCCGGGGGCCCCGGGGCGGGCGGGAGGGCTGGAGGCTGGAAGAAGGGCCGGGAGAGAGGCCGAGAGAGGCGGCGGACGCATCCGCCGCCACCGCCGCAGGAGGCGGAGCGCTGCACCTGGCGGCGGGTCCACGGCGCTCAACCCTGAAACGGGTCCAGCCGGTCGCGAGCTGGGACCGCGCGGGTGAGGCCTGGGCCGGGAGAGAGGAGGAAAGACGGGAGGAGGCGCGGGAGACAAGGTCGCGCGGGCGGGTGCGCGCTCGGCTCCCCGCCGTGGGCCGCCCCACCCGGCTGCATCCGTCGTCCACGCCGCGCCCCGCCCCGCCCCGCTCCCCCGGGGAACGAACGAGCCCGCCGCGCGCGATGGTGCGCCCGGGCCCCACAGCCGCCGCCCCGCGCCCCGAGGAGAGGGCGCCCCGCGCCCCGCGCTGCTGAGCGCCGCCGCAGCAGGTGAGCCAGGCCTGGGTGCCCGGGGAAGGGACGCTTGTTCGGCGGCCCCACCCCAGCCTCCCGGCCCGCGGCCTCCGCGCCCCGGCTTCCCGCGGGGGACGGGCGGCGCACACCTGCCGTCCCGGAGGGGGCTCCCGGGAAAGGGCTGTGGGCGGCGGGGGGGGGGGGCGTCTCCGCCCCGCGTCTCGCTCGCCTTCGCTCCCTCCTTCCCCTTGGCCCTCCCTCGGGCTCGGGGGGGGGGGGGGCTGTTGTCATCTTTGTGGGGTGCCTGGGGGAGGCTGTCGCCGGCGCCCCCGGCGTGCCGGGCTCGGGCAGCACTTCCGCAAACGTAATTGGAGTCGGGGAAAACAAAGGCGCTACCCCGGGATCTGTGACGGACGCCAGCCACTGCTGCCCAAGGTGGGAGATGGGGGGTGGGGGGTTGGATCCCCAAAGTCCAGGCCCCTATGGGCCCCCACCCGTCTGGCGCCCTCGCAGTAAACATCCCTGGGCAAGGGAGGAGGGCGGTGAGACTCTCCACGTAGCCCCAGTGACAAGGACATGGCCACTTGTGTGGGAGAAGGAAATTGACGTGGGCCCCTGTCCAGGTGAATAAATGCCTCTTGCTGTGGCCTGCCGCCATCGGAGGAGAAATGCTGCACCTTGTGCGTGTGTGCTTGAACTTGGTGATCTGTCCTGGAGCTCATTTGAAGATAGTGATTGGGGGTGAGGTACGGGGAGGTTGTTGTTAATCCTTCTGGGTCCTATCGATTCATAGACAGTCATTTGAAGTCGGAGAGTGAAAAATCCCATACACAACTTTCCCTCTCCTCCTCCAGCTCCCATGAGGCCACGCAGGTGGATTGATTACCTTTGAGGCTGGTACACAGTGCTTTTGGTCTCTCCCACACACATTGGAAACCACAAACATTTCCTTCCATCTGAGAGCATTCAGTGAGCACCTCGCAGAACCACTGAATATCTGGCGTCTTAGGAGAGAATCTTACCAAGTTGGAGTTCCTATTTCAACTGGTGTCTAGTTTTGTGTCTTGGGTTTGTCGCATGGACCTGGACTCCAGTTTTCTCTAATGTCAAAAAAAAAAAAAAGATGGCTGGATGGTGTAATACCCAATTTCCCCTTCACCTTTCTAAGAAGTCCGTGATACTGTGTAAATCTAACCTCTTTCATGCAGACAAATGTGAAGAGTGGGTGGGCGCAGAGTTTAGGGATGACAAGCAAAGTGTAATAAAAGGAAATGAATATTTGGTTCGTCTGTAGTTTGGGCAGAACATTCCTACAGGGCACTAGCCAGCGAAAGGTGCATGCATTATGGATGACCTTCTTAAGTAAAAAGAGAGGGTAGAATCATTCGCCTTGGGAAGCTTGGCTTTTGACACTTCAAGCTGCTGGTCATTAGCAGACATGGAGGGTATTTTCAGTTATTCAGTGGCAATAGGATGGATGGCGATGGTGGTTATTACGGGTTGTAAGTAAAATTTTGTGTTTTGCTGAGGAAAAGGTGGAACTATTGTTAAGGCCTCTACCTTTTTGCAAGACATACTTGAAGAGTACAAGCGGATCATATTTCAATAATTCATTAAAGTTACAAAGTGTGTATATATATTTATATATAGTAATTTATTTCTAAGGTGTTTTCCATGTCTATTCAAGTAAGGTAAATATAAAAACATGAAGGCAAACTGAAACACAAAGACAAAACAATACGGTTTGCATGTATTTGGTGGGGTACGAAATCACCAATGACAGCTTATATAATTTCTGCAGTATTAACAGGAATAAGGCACTTTTTGAACATTTACTATGTTTAAGACACTGTCTTAAATGAGTTAATTTCTAAATCTCTGTGAGTTGTCATTCTCCTAATTTTGTGCCTGATATAAAGGAAACTCAGAAAGGTTAAGCAACTTACCCAAACCCTGTAATCAGTAAGAAGTGGAATTAGATTTGACTCTGTCTCTGGCTCCAAAGCACAGGAAATTTCCACATGGTGTCCCTTCCTGTTCAGTACCCATTAAGCCTCACCACCTACACAGATGCTTTCCTTTGCTATTTGCCCTTGAAAATGAAAACTTCCACATAACATGCATTTCATATGGTGGCATTTATCCATGTAAGATAATCTCTATGCTTATGCATGTGTACTTTCATTTTTCTTCCATTTATAGATGACAAGCAATATAAAAGCTAATACCACAGAAGATAAATTTTATATTAGGCTAATGATGGACTTTTTTGTTTACTTCCTCTGATAGTAAGTAAATCTTGATTTAACATTCTTATTGTGGGGAAAGGGAAATATTTTAATCTATATATGATTGCTAGAAATCAAGTATATTAGGTAAAAAAGAGCAAGTTGCAGAAGAGACGTATGTACATTTATTCAAGTCTTCAGGCATATAGCTCCAGTCCCTCAACTATTCAAAGTTACCACCCTAAAAAAGTTTGGGCTTAAAAAATTGGAACAAGTTTATGTTCTTTTATCATATAAACTAAAAAGAAGAAAAAGGGCTGGGAAGGTGGCTCAGTGGTAGAGCGCTTGCCTTGCATGCCTGAGGCCCTGGGTTCGATTCTTCAGCACCACATAAGCAAAAAGAAAGAAGGCGGAAGTGGCGCTGTGGCTCAAGTGGTAGAGCGCTAGCCTTGAGCTGAAGAGCTGAGGGACAGCGCCCAGGCCCAGAGTTCAGGCCCCACGACTGGAACCAAAAAAAAAAAAAAGAAGAAGAAGAAGAAGAATAGAATTAATTCACTTTTTAAAAAATCCAAGCTGTGGCTCAAGTGATAGAGCTCCAGCCTTAAGTGAAAAAGCTCAGGGGAAGAGCTCCAAGGCCCTGAATTCAAGCCCTAGTACTACTATGCATGTGCACGTATACACGCGTGTGTGTGTGTGTGTGTGCACACACACATACACAAAATAATTGAAATTGAATGAGCCTAACTTCTGTAGTATCATTAAGGAAAAATAAACTGAAGAGATCAAAGAGAAAGTTGGTGTTCAGGGAAAAGTTGATGTTCAAAAAATAGTCTCAAATGACTGACTTTTACCCTTCTAGCATATTATGCTGCTCATTAGTGTTCCTTCTCAATGAGAATACTTTGGTGTATAGCAGAGTTTGTGTTGAATAAGAATCCTTTTTCCTTGGTCTGGGTTGTGTGTAGAAGCATGGAAACATTTTTCTTTGCAGAGCATCTGTAGCATGTAGGAGTCAGAACAGTCAGTTTACCTGCTGTGCCATCTCTGATGACTTCAGCTGTAATTATTTTTAGAAGTTTAATTTCAGGAACAGCAAATTATCAAGCCAATCTAGTCTGATGCATATCTATTAAATATAATACCATTGTTCTCCCTAGATCTATGTAAAATTAACAAAAATCAATGCTTAGAATCTTCAGATCCTAAAATTAATCCAGTTTACTGCTCAGATTTAGAATTCCAGAGCCAAATATATCCAGGCTTTTTGGAATCAAGAAAACACACTTTTCTTGTATTTTTTTTTTTACATGAAGGAAATCCAAATGAACTTGATTTATAATAAATGTGGTAGGCAATCCAAAAGGAGGTCATTATGAAGTTTTTGTATAGGAGATATTCTGACAATTTTAAGTGTCATCCCACATGTCATTATATATTTCATTTATATTATTTTCAAGTTATGTTTCAGATAGAAAAAAATAACATGGGCTGGGAAGGTGGCTCAGTGGTAGAGTGCTTGCCTTGCATACATGAGGTCCTGGGTTCAATTCCTCAACACCACATAAGCAAAAAAGCCGTAAGTGGCACTGTGGCTCAAGTGGTAGAGTGCTAGCCTTGAGCTGAAGAGCTCAGGGACAGTGCCAGACCCAGAGTTGAGGCCCCACAACTGGTAAAAAACAAAACAAAACAAACAAAAAAAAAAAACCTCAGTCCTTTAATTAGGAAGCTCTATTAAGTTCAAAATCCTACCCTAGTACAAAGCCAGGTTTCATGAAATAAAACAAAACTGTCTTCTTCAAAGAAATAGCATTTTCTGGAGCACATCATTTTGCATTGCTGGGAGAAGAAAGCATGTCTGATGTGAATTCTCTGTAGAACAATGAAAACAACTTATTTTCTCTACCTAGAATAGCCCATTTGGCATCGTAATTCCTTCATGGTTAGTTACTCGACAGAAGCTGTCTGTGGCCATTTACTGGGCTGACATTTAAGGATGAATGGGGCTTATGTCAGTCTGATACGTTTTCCTAAATCCTGAATGACACACTATCCAGTACATGGCCCTTTCGGTGGGCTTGGTACCTTTTGCTTTGTACCTGTTTAGATCCTCTGTTTAGAAGGCATTTATTTACTGTTTTGAAAAGTAGAATTATCTCAGGTTCACTGCTTGGCCAGCTTTTGGAAACTACTGAAGTCCTTTACTAAAGTTTGATTTGTTGGTTCAGAGGCCAAAACAGTAATTAAAAACAATTTTAAAAGTCAAGAAATTCATTCTTGAGTGACATACATTGGAATGTGTCTGCTGCCAGCCTTAAAAACTAGTTGTTATTTGGATCAGTAAAAAAAAAAAATGCATGCACACCTCATCTCATACACACATGCATGTCTACCTCAGCATCAACAAAAGCCTGTTCGCCTGTGCTGTGATCATGGCAGTGGCCATAAGCTTTGGCACAGTGCAATGTAAATGTGGCTAAGCCATGAAAAACTAATGAGTGTTTGAAGGCATGTTAAAAACTGGGAAATACAAATGAGATATCTGCCAGGTGGTCCTATTGCATTTTAGGATAGTGGGAGGTAGAATGGAAAATGATGGGGCAGAGATGAAAGAAAGTCAGGCTTCTAGAAAAGCATACTTATGAGGTATGACAAAGCATAAATTAAGGGAGGCAGGGACATCTTTCTTGACAACCGTTCTGAATATGTTTGAAAATGGAAGACTAATTCAGGAAACAGTTTGCAAATAGAAAATAGGAAAGTCCAACTGTAACTGTGAAAAATAAATGTTTAGAAGTGTTTTGGTCTGAG